CATGGATATCACAGCAATATTATATTGAAAAATACGGGATATCCATAGTTAAGGTTGCTGCATCCTTATTCTATGGCTAGCTGTATATTGTTGGAGCAGCAAAAGATCTATGGTTGGGTGATCCATAGTAATGGAAATGGGAAACAACAAAATTTGAATCACTCAATTAATTAAATGCAATGTCACTTGAGATATTTTATATACATTTTTGTTAATTAATACACACCACTTATTGAATAACCGCATATTTACGAAATAAATTATTAACCGATGGGGGAGACACGAACCCTAGACACTATACACGCGACTACAATATTTGAGCATATAATATTCCTTGTATACTCTACACATATTTAATGAAAATGAATTTACATAAACACTAATAGACAATAACAATAATAAATAAAAAACAATTATAACACTATTTACACACAATAAACTCACAACGCGATTATATAAACGCGACAGGCAACCGACGCGATAGACAAATTGAGACGACCATTTTTAAAAGGATGCCATGATAATGAATTGCGCGCAACATGTAGGGGAGACCGAGGTGAGTTGTAACAGAGATGAGTTGTAACAAAGCCGATTGCTCGAAATCTATGACCTTTTAAAAATTTTGAAAAGCGTGAATTTATTACATTTTTTATTCATTATTTAATGCAAATTTACTTGACCACCTGAGAAAAGTTTTTGAGATGTATTTAATATGTGTGCAAAAAAATTGCTAAAATTAAGTTTTCGGACGAAATTTTGATACTTTATTATTCGACACATATTAGATTTTTGTTATTCTAATATTTACCTTAATAACTGTTGGATATCCTAGTTTCATGAAATGGTTTTGTTTTTTTGTGTCAGTCTCGAAATTTAAAATAAAAAATAATTATTCGAACCGATGCACAGTTTTTCGCACCTAGGCGAGTTGTAACAGGCTGTTTCAACTCACCTAGGTTTACGCAAATTTGTGCTTGATCAAATAGAGGCTGTTTGGATTTTTGCTAAAGTATATTGTTTTATATTATGGCTTTAAAAGTATTTAGAATTTTACAAATTTTCGTGTAAATCACTTTCATATTTTCCAAAGGAAAAAAAAAATATTAATAAAAACATTTTTCGAGTTGCTCTTTCATATACAAAAGTCAAAAATAATTTCTATTTATAGGTTTTTTTGTTATTATTGAGCTTGTTGTTCATTTTTAATTTGATTTATATTAATCTCATAAATTTTCTTACTCTAATTACTCCTTACTCTCTAAATCTGAATTAGCGAAATTCCACTAATTTCCCAGCGATAAGTATATCACTGATTCAATTAGCGTATATACGCCAATTGAATCAGTGATATACTTATCGCTGAAAAATTAGTGGAATTTCGCTAATTCAGATTTAGAGAGTAATTATTTAAAAATTCGCAAACAAAATTTTATTATTCTTAAATTTCTATAAAATATATTATATAATATTATTTTTAGCTATTATAAAGCTCAAATTGTTATTATAGATCGTAATTAAATACCAAAGATTGGTTTAAAATATCTAATTTGTGTTAGAGAAAACGAAATATGTGATAACATAATTCCAAAAGTAAACGAAGTTATTAAAGCGAGTATTTTATTCGTTTCTATTAATAAGATGTCTTTACTAACTAATTAAATTTACTTTAGGGGAGACTGGGGTAAACCCGCGCACAGGGTAAACCCGCTCACTAGCGATTTAACGCGATGAACTCTACTTAAGATGGAGATATTGATACTGTGAATAGTACTTAACATTCAACTTATATTAACGAACTTTCGTTTAGTTTCATGAATTCAACACAGAATCAGAGACGATCAAATGTTTTTAGAGGTGTCAGAAAAAAAACGTATTTTGGATTTTTAAGTTTTTCGATCATTATTTTTGAGTCTTAATTTATCTGGCAAATTTTTTTTGTTGGTATTGGATGTCCTTCTTCGAAGTACATATATAGTTTTGTCTTATTTTAAAAAGATTTAATTAAATTTATTCTGAAATGTGAGGAATACACTCGGGGTAAAGTCGCTCACCTGAAGTCGGCGTAAAGCCGCTCACTTAGTTTTAAATTTAAAGTTTAGAATAAAATAATTTCACGTATTATATTTCAACAATAACACAATTTATGACTTATTAAAACCAAAATTGTAACTACATTTCACTTTCTCTTAATAAAATATAACACTTTTTAAATCCATAGTTGTAATTCATGAAATCTATGTTCATTATTTATTAAACCAATTTGTTTTTTATAGAATTGTTTATATAACTCATAAATTATCAATAATAAATCATACTTAAAACGGGAATAAGACGAATTTTAATATTTAAAAAATAAAACTGTTCCGTCTCGAAAAGATAAAGTGAGCGGGTTTACCCTGGAAAATTGAGATTTCGAAATTTGGTATATGTTTATTAAAAAGTTTCTCTAAGTAAAACTAAAAAAGATAAATTAAAAACTCTTTTTTATTTTTTTAGTAGAAATCATAAGCTTTTAAATGATAAAAATTAACTTGAATTTAGAGAATAATTTCCTAGATTTTAGCCGATCTGAAAAAAAGTGAGCGGGTTTACCCCAGTCTCCCCTACTAACTAAACTAAGCATTAGAAATGAATTTTTTCATTAAAATCACAAAATTTGCAACTGTTACAACTAATGTCGACAGTGTTACAACTCACCTTGGTACTAGGTGAGTTGTAACACCGGGAACAGTTTTAGATTTGGCAATTTTTTCTTAAACTCTTACAACTTTTTAAATTTTTCATTTTTGATGCACATACTACACAAAATTACTTATATTCAAAAATACAAAGCTTATATAAATAGGACAATTTTTGGCTGAGTTATACTGGATAATGTAAAAATCGTTTCAACTCACCTCGGTCTCCCCTATCGAAATTTTGAACTAACTATGGATCTCCCAACCAAAGTTTATATGGATGAGGCAGCCATATGTGAAAATCCATAGCATGAATTGTAAGCCCAACCATGCACTGAGAAAAATAGAGTTTGAAAAACTGGGAGTCAATATTGAAAAAACTGGACTCAGTCCAGTAAAAGTACATTAATTCATTTCCATCAAGCATCTTAGGGTGATGCGTATAGTGTATTAGAGGGCCTTAGTTCCAAATGTCACTGTAAAGAGCATTGAAACACAGGCGAAGATTATAAGGCGTGCTGCAGTGTGCATAGTAGAGAAACTGGACTCAGTCCCCTACTTCGAAATTTTCACAATAAAGGAACGCAGGCGCGGAACCTGTCAAAATAAATGGCCGACGCGACGCGAAACGAGTGTTTCCTTGTATTCACTTCGTCAATTTTATATAAAAAAAACAGTAACCAATCATTAAAAAAAAAAAAAATATGTTAAATGCACTCTTTATATATTCATATTCATTAATTCACAAGTTTTATTCTTCCCACATCTTCCAACTTACAATTAACAACTAAATGCATCGGAAAATATTACAATCATACGGGATTGAACACCTACCTAACCATACAACTAAATATACGCATAATTATAAATCGCACGCTTTTACATTAAGCCTCTCGGCTACGCAATCGATGGGGGAAATTTCCTATTTAAGAAACATCCCTTACCAATGAAATAAATTAGATGATGCGTGGATTTTACTTTGTAATTAATGTAAGTATGGATGTCAACAATATTCATAATATTGAATAAATAATATTGTCAACTAGTTTCAATTTGATACGCGGTTATTAGAATTTAATAATAAATAAATAAAAAACATTAATTTTTTCCTAACCTTTTTCAAGTTTGACACTCCTTATGGTAAATTTGATTATTCTTTTTTTCCGTGTACAAAATAGTAAATTGACGTTGAATGAAATGTATAATTAATTATTCTCACAGCAATATTTAATAATTTAATTAACTTAACTGCTCTGCATAATAGTTGAGAGTAGTAATAGTAAGTGAAACGGTAAGATAAGTGAACGACCATTAGTGTGAGAGAGAGAGAATAACTTGTGGTTTTCGAGTAGGTATCTACTTTATGTGCACGGCGTTCATTTTTCGAAAGAACTGGACTGAGTACTATTTGTTCAATATTCGCTTCTATTATTGACTTGTGTTTTGTACACTGCCGCGTTCATTTAACAATTACATGAGAAAGAAATTTCTCATTCCAATTTTTTATACTCTTATTCCCTCTTAGACTATATAAACAGTCTTGTTTAAGCTGATGAATGGAATAACTTGTGTTGAGTCCCAAACTGTTCAGCTATGAAACTTCTAATACTATAGTGTGTACCTGTCACATATTATTCTATAAAGGAGTACTACACTGACTGCATAAATCATTTTTCCATTTTTCTCCGTGTGCCTATGGATGTCACATCCATATTTGATTCAACAATATAATATGGCTCCCTTATCCATTGAATATATTGAAAGTGCTTCCATACTGAAAGTTGTCTCTTCCATTAAATTGGATAACACAACAATATTCTGCCGAGGGGTATTTCACTTCCGAATCATGCAGGTATAATGTTTGAAATCATACGAATAAAGAATTATTTCTGAAATGACAGTAATTAAACAGTGTGCGAATAGTGTCAATAGTGCGAGTTAACGTAATGAATTCTGAAATGACAGTAATTAAGCAGTGTGCAAATAGTATCAATAGTGCGAGTTAACGCAAATAGTGTAGTATTAATATTACTGCAGTATTAAATACTGTAGTCTAACGTCCTTGTAGAGCAGGCTGATTCGAAAGTGAAAAACCCCTCGTATTCTGCTCAACAATATTTTTATGGATATTTGTTCCAAACCTTTTCTTTCCGTGCTGTTATTGAGAATCAAAAAAAATGTTGTCCCTATTTTGAAAATTTCCACTCTGACACAGCACTAATATAATTTTCTAAAATCTGCAATTTATCGATATAGACTCACACTAGATATTTTTTGTATATATTATTTTGGAATTGGTATATTTGTGAAATGTATTTTTAGATATTTACTTATAACCAAGCAATGGGAAGAGGAAGCAAGAAAAGCTTTAAGAAGATTACGAGCTAGTAACCAAGTAGAGGAAGATATTGAAGAAATGAGAGCAGAGGAGAGAGCTCAACAGGCAGAATCGACAATTTCAATGACTGAATTAATATGCAGCCCAACTTTAAGGGCGCCTCTTGTCATTGGAATTGTGATGCAGCTTTCGCAACAACTTTCCGGAATTAATGCCGTAAGTGTTGAATCATGTCAATTTCAAAATAGTACATGTAAATTTTACGCACAATTTCCAATATTCCAATAATCAAATTTTGTCTTCCGACTCAAGGTACACTCTCACCTCACTGCCTGCCTGCCTGCGCAGGCAGGCGCAATGAGAGTGAGAGAGAAAAAACATTTAATTTGAATTTTCTGACTCTCTTACTCTTATGTGTTACCATGTCAACCTGCAGGCAGGCAGGCAGGCAGTAGGAGCTGTGCTAGCGCCTTAAGAATTTTAATAATAAAACTAAATTTTAATGGCGCGAAAATTAGCATTTTCTGCTTAAAAAAATTTTTGTTTACAATTCTCGAAATTTTGCCTCAAGGAATATTTTTTTTCCGAGAAAACTTCGAGTGGACCATTTGTGTAAAAAATGACGAATTTCTGCGCAGAGAAAATTTAATTTAAAAAAAAAAGAAAAACTAGAGACAGTAGTATAGCTAGGCCGGTTCTGGGGCAGGTTCTGATCTCGGCTAAGTACCTACGGTCGGTAACTGCTCAGTCGGTAATGCAGATTTCTACTTTATCAGCAGTCGGTAAGGTAGGGTCCTGTCAGAAATTTTAACTCAACTGATAAAGTAGGGATATGTTTTATCGACCGAGTTAGTTTGAAGTTAAACCGCTAGATGGCGCCACCAGCAAATTCAAATCCGTTTGGCGGGTAATTTAAAATTTTATTTTCATAGTTTTAAGTGGGTTAAAAGGGGCGCTCTGTTTTACCGACAGGGTTCAACGATCAACCGATAGATGGCGCCACTAGCAAATTCCAAACCCCTTGGCGGGAAATTTAAAATTTTATTTTTAAACTTTCAAGTGGGTTAGAAGGGGTGCTCTGTTTTACCGACTGGGTTCAAGGTCAAAGTAATAGATGGCGCCACTTTAATTTTTAAATTTCGCGGGCGTTGCTATCCAACATTTTGTTTTACCGACAGGGTTCAAGGTCAACCTAATAGATGGCGCCACAAAAATTAGTAAAAAGATTTATAATTGATATATAATTTATAAGATTTTTTGAATTTCGCGGGCATTGCTCCCTACTATATTTTTCTACATAGTTTAAGGTCAACCTTATAGATGGGTCCACTAAAATTTAATTTTACAAGCGTTGCAAACTACTATCTTGATTTTTAAATTTCCCGGACCTTGCTTATAATTAAAATAAGTTTAGAGTTTTACAATTAAAACTGATGTAATGTTTACTAATGCAATTAAAATTGATTGAATAAACAATAAGCTGTTTGAATTCAAATTGAATTACACCAGATCGGTAATGCAGGTTTTTACTTTATAAGCAGTCGTCAAGGTAGGGATCTGACAAAACATTTTGACTCGATCTATAATGTAGGAATCTGTTTTACCAATAAATAAATGGTGCGTGTTCTTGAGTGTGAAATATAATAATAGTAAGTAAATAAAAATTATATAAATATTTTATACCATTTTAACATCACTTTAGCATGTTTATGTTAAATAAATTATTCTTCTAATTTCTATTTTTCTAGAACCTTTTTTCCGAACTTTGCAATAATATTTTTCTCTTGAATTTCTAGTTTACTAATATTATTTTTTCATAACATTACTAAACATAACCTTAAAATCTATTGTATTAAACATAACCTTAAAATCTATTTTATTAAACATAACCTTAAAATGTATACCTTATTATCTAACGTAATACTAATGAGAGTATTTAATTAAATACAGTATTAATAACATTTCATACATTTATTACATTCAATATACAATATTTACACTTGTTTTATTTTAAATTCAATATGGTTGTATGGACCACCAATATACTTCAGCCGTAATTGTCCAGAACTAATAGCTTCTTGCATCTGATCCAAGCATATATAGTCATCAGTAAACATTGGTACAAATCTTGAAGGTAGGAATGTATTGAACTTTTTATCCACCTCAACGACGACCTTGACTCCATACCTGGTGTTGACAACCTGGATCTTTGCTATAAGATACTTATGTCCAGGAGTCAGCTCGGAAAGCGGCTTCGTAGGTAGGAAAGCATCCATGCGACCAATGGCGTTGATTTTGGTTAGTTCCATCTTTTCTTAGAGATAATACTTTGTGAAGTCACAAAACAGAGAGACTAAATCGGTTGAGATCCCTCAATTTATACCCAAATATGACGCAATACCCCCCACTACTTTTTCTACGCATGCGCAATACCCCCACCACTGCTTCTACGCATGCGCATTACCCCCACTTTTATTTATTAAGCCACGCCTACTTTGTGACGTCATAAGACAAGTCTAAACTAGTTTTAACATGTTTAATAGTTTCACGCATATGTAATAAAAATAATAGGATGTGGAAGGGTTAATTAATGTAAACATTCGTAATACATTTAATACATTTATTCATTAAATATGAAATTTTCACAATCATTATAAAAACCTTCAAATGTACAATCATTGTCAACTTCATCAGTATTTTCTATATTATTTCGTAGTACATTTGACGGTTGTATCAACCAATTTCGTAGATTACATACATTTTAAACAGCACAATTGCTAAAGCTACGTGTGTGATTTGTGCATGTAGATGAACTATCTGCACTTAAACTTTTTAGCGACGGACATTTAAAATCATCAAAGTTAAACACATTTAATGTATATTTTTCCAACCATTTTTGTTTTTCTAAACCTTTTACATAAACAGTAGGTGTACCTATTAACACTTCTTTTATTATAGGTTGTAATTCTTCATAAGGAATGTCACCAGCAGCCCAATCGATACCATGATAATTATTTGTAAGCCATCGATTCTCACATTTGTATCTTGCAGGTAATCGGCTCCAGGCATATGGCGGCTCGAAGAGGTAGACCAATGGATGAGCATCTTGTTGAAGTGGTAGAATCGACAACTCTTTGATGACAAACTCGTTGTAAGGTTTTTTGAAGCACTGAATATCTATGACGTACGCCATGGTATCTGAAATAGAATAATGTCTCAAGCCTTAGAGAGACGTTCTCTTTATAGCCTCCCCCCATCACTCCAATTACCCCCACTACTGATGTCATCTATGATTGGTCATTATTTCTACCAACCACGATACTTTTTTAACAACACCGCTGATTGGTGTATACTGTATAATGCGGTCGTGAATTATAAGGCAATATGCAGCTGTATTGGCTGGAAAATTTTCATTTGCTTCAAATTCCAATCACACATCTACAGATGCTTGTTTTAGAAATTCGTTTTGTTTTGAGCAATCAATAACAGCCAATGGTGCATAATCTTTAAAGTTATTTCTAGTTAATAAAGGTTCAGATTCTTTTCCATAGTAGGATGGTTGAAAATTACAATACATATCATATAGTATGGAAAATTTGTTTTGAGTAAAATTTAAATTTAAATTTCCATAAGGATAGTACTGTGAGTTTAAGAAAAGTTTAACATTGTGAAGATTACAGGCATCAAATAAATTTGCATACCTTCCTTGATCTTCTTTTCGATTCGTTTGAAAACCAAGAATAACATATCGAGGTTTTTCAACTTGTGTTAAAGTTTTTACAGTCTACACATGCTTTTGAGTGGCAGGAATCATAGGATACTCATATAAATCCCATGATCTAAAACTCATTGTTATAAGTGAGTCTTTTTCAATGAATTTCAATAATTCAATTTTTTGGCGATCATTTACCATTAAATATGGAATCAACCATTCAACTTTATTAATTAAAATTTTAAATTCTTCACGCTCAGCTGCTCCAATGTTTACTACAGCAATCAGATCAGTACGAGATCTTGTTAAAATAAGTTCATGTTTTGCATTTACAACAATCTTTCGATAGTCTTCAGCAAAACCAATAATCATACTTAGTGGAATATTTACATCAAAATATCCAGCATCATTTTTTTACTCTACTATCATCATCATAAGGTAGATAACCAGCATTTTCAGAGTAATTCATTTGATTAGGTGTTTGAGAAATTAGATTTTTCATTGTAGTTGTAATACCAACATTTTTAGAGCGATCAATTTTAACACCATTTAATTCATAACGAATCTCATTAAACAGGTAGGAAATACTATTGCTAATTAACTTTGTATTAGTTACAAGCGTATTGTTAGGCTTAACAATTCTTCCAGTGACGTGTAAAGTACTTTTAGAGGGAAGAATGTACAAGTCTTGATGTTGAACTGCAATTCGAATCTCGTCACTGTTATTAAATGCTGATGACACGTATGGTTGCCATTGAACTGCGTAAAACCGAGGTACTACTCAACAAACCGATCTATGTGGGGTTAAGTGTGCTCGATGTTTCCAAAACGCTAATCTACGATTTTCACTACGGGTATATGTTAAAAAAATACGGCGATAATTGTAAACTGATGTATACCGATACAGACAGTCTAATCTACGAAATTAAATGTAAAGATGTCTACAATGACATGAAAAATGACATTCAAAAGTTCGATACGTCAGACTATCCCGCAAACAACGTGTACGGCATTCCGCAAGCCAACAAAAAGATTCTAGGTCTAATGAAAGACGAATGTAACGGCAAGATCGTTACCGAATTTGTTGGCTTGCGGAGTAAGATGTACAGCGTACGGGTTGAAGGTGAAGACATTATTAAAAAAGCCAAAGGCATTAAATCCGGCGTTGTGAAAAAATCGATTCACTTTGATGATTATGTAAAATGTCTGCGAGATTTCGACATTCAAACTCCAACACAGTATAATATTAGATCACGACTACATAACCTTGAGACTGTAAAACAGGTAAAAGTAGCTTTAAGTCCGCAAGACGACAAACGGTATTTGTTACCGGGTAGTACCGACACTCTACCGTGGGGACATTATGCGATCCCCACAATCGACGAACGATTTTGTAAAACATGATTGTAAAAAAATAAAATGTTTGTTAATAAATAATGCAATTATATTCAATTTCCATGTGTTTTTATTTAAAAAATCCTTCCATATATACATTATAACATAT